AGTTATGTCTTTGTTGGAGGAGGTGTGTCACTGGGGCAGGCTTTGAGGTTTCAAAAGACTGGAGCCATTTCCAGTATGTCTTTCTGCCTCCTGGCTGTGGCTCAAGATGTAAGCTCTCAAACACACCTGCCACCATGCCTTTGCTCTGCCATCTTGGACTCTGTCTGAAACCATAAGCCCTATGAAACACTTCCTTTTATAAGTTGCCTTGGCCATGGTGTTTTGTCACAGCAATCAATCAGTAGCCAGGAAATTTCCCTAGTTCATTGTCTTCAAAACACTGGGCGCTGCCTGAAATCCCGTACTCCCTTGTATCCTTGCTTGACCTTCCTTTACCCTCCAGAAGGTGCAGGGCTATGCACACGGGGCTATGTCTATTTGCTCCCTGCAGTGTGAGCACCGGGGCAGTGCAGCCTAATGCACACACACCAGCCTTGCATAGGGCTATGCACAATGCAATTTAAACTAACTTTGAAATGCAGTTCCTCATGTCACTCCCTGTGATGTCTGGGCTGGAGATGACTCTTGCACTTGGTATAATGGTGAGGGTGGTGACAGTGTACCTGCTCACAAGGAAAGCACAGACAACTCAAGATGGTTATAAAAGAAAACAGACGGCACACAGGGAGCCAGTGGAGAGCTGGATGGTGCATTTGCCTGTTTTCTGTCAGGATACCAAAATACCCGAGGCTGTAACTTTATCAAGAAAAGAGGTTTATTAACTCACAGTCCTGGAGGTTCAAGGGCAAGGTACTGGCATCAGCTCAGCTTTGGTGGAGGCCTCAACACTGACAGCATCACAGCAGGAGTGTGTAGGAGATCACATCAAGGACAGAAAGCCAAAGAGCTCAGAGAGCTTGTTCTCTTTATAGCAGCCCTCTCCTGAGAGCCAGCACAGGCCCTGTGAGAACTAACACGGCCCCTCCAAGAGCAGTGCGTGACTTTTCTCATCACTACAACAATACCTGACAGAAACCACCTACGGAAGGAGAAGTTTATTTTGCTTACAGGTTCAGAGGGCTCAGTTCATTACAGTGAGGAAAGTATGGCAGAGTTCACCACAGCATGCGAAGCAGGGTCTGGGCTATGGCTGGGCTAATCTTCAAGGTTCTGCCCCTAAGTGACCTACTTCTATCAGCCAAGTCTCTCTTCCTAAGGGGTCCCCAAAACCCTAAAACCTATCCCTCGCACTGGGAAACAGGCATTCAAAACACGAGCCTATAGGTGAGTTTCCAGAGTCAAACCATCCCAGGAAGTGTCCGAATGGCTTCCCATCAGATGGAGCCTGTCTGTTTCCAAACCAGCAGACAGGCAATCATCTACTATAGAGACTGATGGTTCCCTCCCTGCCACAACTGTCACTTTATAAAGGAAACCCATGGGACCCTCATGCTCCCCAACCAGCCCAGTCCCTTGTACTTTCCATGTGTATGAAACATAAAAAGATGTAGCAGACATGTTATCCTAGTCTCCTCCTGCCCTAAGCAGACAGCCAATCAATTCCCGATGAACCAGAGGGAAGGTTCTCAGGGCAGCACTCCAGGCACCCACTTCCAATCAGCTGACCAAAGAGACCCCCATCCATCTGCTGTGTGGGGTCTTACTATTCCAGACTCAGCTTCTTCAACATCAAGCCAGGGAATACTGCTCCCAGCCACAAGATGGTTCAGTAACTCATTCTCACACATGCGTGCCTCTCACAGGCCTCACCCCTGGAGTATTGGACCGATGACATCTGTCACAGCATACATGGCTGTGCCATCCTCTGTATGCTGGGAAGTGTGGCCTCCTGTTCTTACTGCCCTTACCAAGTCCCTCTTCTCAGGGCGGCTAACACTCACAATGCAACCTAGTTAGAGAAAGGAGCCTGGAAATGTTAACCCGAGGAGGTAACAGGCGGCACATTCCAATCAAAATGAACCCTTCTCTAGGACTCTCCTCCATTCCAAGTGAGCCTCGCTCCCCACTTAACTTTCCTTCCTCAACTCCCATACACAAAACATTGCACTAACAAGCCATGTCTGCGGGCCAAGTTATATTCCCTATAAACTCTCATTTTATCTCCTCCAAAACACACAGCAATAGAGTTCTCTGGAGAATATTAAATCGACCAAGCCACAGCTGCATTTGTTTGTGTTTTCTGCCCCCGGTAAGTTCTGGCAACAGATGGTTGTGCATCGTGTAAGTGCTGTTCTACAGTGCCACTCCACACTCCACCCTGGGTGTCAGAACCCACACTTCCGCGCCCACAGTAAGCCTCCGACGCTCCCCTGACTCAGAGGGCCCTGAGCCCTTTCTGTATTCTGCATGTCCCAGGAAGGCTGAGTACAGGTAAAATAAGTGCCTGTCTTGGCCGAGGCACACAGTTTCTTAGCATTTGTGGTCCAGTGTATAAAATGTGCTCCCAAATTCATGCTTAGTGACCATGCTGAGCCATGGGCATGGGCTTGGCCAGGCTGCAGCATCTCACTTTCCCATTCTAGAACAAGGTGTGAGGAGCACTTGCAGGGAAGCTCCAGCTCCTGAGATCCTGAAGTGATCTCTGAGCACTTAAAAGATGGCCAGGGAGGAAGGGAACTCACAGGTCACAGGTCACAGGTCATTAGGACTTTCCTCACATATTCCAGATAACTGTTTTTCTCAAATTTAACTCGAGGAATTTATTAACAAAGAAAGAAAGGACTTCAAAAGGCAGAAAGCAAAGGGAGCTTTCTGTTGGTCTGAGCAGTAGGGCCCATGAATAGAGCCAGAAGGACTGTGCCCACCTCGTGGCTCTCAGGCCTATGGTGCCTAGCAGGTGCTGGTTGTGGGAAAAACTAGAGGAGAGAAGAACAAGGGTAGGGTGGGAAGGAAGGAGGAGGGCAGAGGAGAGGGAGAGGTGTTAAAAGGGCTCCTCTGGAGGACTGCCAGCTTTGTTTCAACCCTCTCATCCTCAGGCCCTCTCACCTGGGTGTAAGAAAGGGCAGCATAGCTGCACATGAACTACAGGAATGTGAACTCACCCACTGGTTCTTTTATTCACCCATCTATCACCTGCTCATCTCCTTGGCACAGATGAGTGGTGGAGACCTCTGGCCCTACTGTCTTGGAGTCCACAACCTTCAGAGGAGGATAGGGGAAGGCTCATGAGGCCCAGAAGTGGCTCAAGGGCAGAGGCCGATCCCTGGAGAAAGCATTGCCTGAGGAATCTGCAGGGCAAGTGTCTGGAGCTGAGTGAGATGGGGAGGTGGGCAGGCACCAGGGTGTGGCCACAGCAGCCAGCACTCGGGAGGCTGGCATGAGCAAGAGGAGGCATTGCTGGGGGAGGCAAAGACTGGCACAAAAGCATTAAAAAGCTCAGATGTAACACCAGAGGTTTAACCTTGAGCCTCTGGGTCAAAGGGTTTGAAGCAGCAGAAGAGTATGACAGAGGCTAGAGGCTGCTGGAGACAGACTGGAGGGTTAAGGCAGGAGGATTAAAAGTTCAAAGACAGATTTGGCTACAGGGTAAATTCTAGGCCATCCTGGACTATATAATAAGGCCCTGTCTCAATAAGTAACCAAGCAAAGGAAGGAACAAATAAAACCATCCCCATGCCAGTTCCCAAGCTCACGGGAATGGTTCAAAGTGCCCACAGAGCCCAGGTCTCCTCCATGGAGGCCATTCACAGAAGCTGTGCCTCTGGCTAAAGGTTTACAGATGGCCACAGAGCCCACAGTTCCCTAATGTCTTTTAGCAAGATGGAGGTTGGATAGACAGCTCCCCACTCACCATCTCTCCCGTGCTAGTCCCTCAGGTCTTGCATGAGGCCTGGCCACTCCTGACCTCATGTCTCCTGAAGAGGGCAAGAAGGCAGAATGGCAGTGCCCTGCCCTTCCTCACTCACACAGTGCCATCCTCTGTATGCTGTGAGGTGTGGCCTCCTGTTCTTACTTCCCTTACCCCCTGTGGGCCCCCTGGCATTGCTTGTTTCACCTTGCTCAGGGCTCCAGCACACTGCATGATTTGTCTACATCTTGTCTGTCAGCATCTCAGCAAGGTGGCCTCCAGGGCAGTTTGTGTCTTTTGCATCAGTCTCCTCAGGACATATCAAGAGATTGACAGCGCCTGGTGTGCCCATATGGGTGAAGAACTAAAGCAGATCAACACATGAAGAACACACTGGAGAGGGAAGGCTGGGGACAAGAGGACAGTGCAGGGCACAGAGCAAGGACTCTGGAATGGGCCCACAGCCACAGTGAAAGCTAGCCATGTAGAGCTAGCTCCATACCCCCAAGAGTCAGGTCTGACACAGAATCCCTGTCCCACCTACCAAACTACTAAATAAGAATCTACTTTCTAGCCGGGCGGTGGTGGTGCATGCCTTTAATTCCAGCACTTGGGAGGCAGAGGCGGGTGGATCTCCATGAGTTCAAGGCCAGCCTGGGCTACAGAGTGAGTTTCCGGAAAGGCTCCAAAGCTACACAGAGAAACCCTGTCTCAACACCCCCTCCCCCCAAAAAAAGAATCTACTTTCTGCCATGCATGGTGGCACATGCCTTTAGTCCAGCACTCAGGAGGCAGAGGCAGGGGAATCTCTATGGGTTTGATGCCAGCCTGGTCTATAGAGTTCTAGGATAGCCCTGTCTAGAAAGGCCCTGTCTCAAAAACAAAAAAACAAAAAAAGAAAGGAAAGAAGGAAGGAAGGAAGGAAGGAAGGAAGGAAGGAAGGAAGGAAGGAAGGAAGGAAGGAAAAGTCTGCTTCCCAGCAAACTCTCCAAGCTTGGTCCTTGTAGAGTAACACCTAGCTGCAGTGGCTAAATGAATGGGCCTGGAGTCCACAGGCTCTTCTTCCGAGACTCACATGATAGAGTATTACCACCGCCATTTCCTAAACCTTAGGAGCTGTAAGTTCCGTTCCTGGTGGCTCTCACGGAGGCTCTCGTTGGACTCATTCCGAACTCAGGAATCAGGCCACTGGCACACTGCTAAGTGTGGGCACCACCAAGTGAGCTGTGAGGAGGCAGGGCCTGCCACTTACCCCATCTGCTGTCCAGTAATTCCGAACCTTGATCTTGGCCAGACCGAAGTCCCGAAGCTGTCGCATGTTGTGGATAATAAAATAGAGCTGAAGTGGGGGGTGGAAGGGGCAGGTCCACACTGGGGGGTCCTTCTTGCTCTGAAAGGCCAAAAGATGGGAACTGTAAGGGATATTTCTGCCTGTCTCCAGGGCAAAAGGCCAGTGACTCTGGCTAATTAAAGCCAGCAGACATGCAAGGGCTGGGCGGGGCCTCCGCATCTCCACAGTGAGTGCTGCCCTCTGCTCTCATCCCTCTCCAGTTGCGCTTCATAGCGCCAATAGCCCTGTCCCTGCAAAAAGCTGCCGGCCAGATGGAACTCAAAACGCAGTGGGCTTTATTTTAATCAGCTTAATGGGCTTTGAGGAGGGCACTGGGGGTGGGGAGGGATGCCAGGAGGCCTAGAGAGAGCCTTTGCTGGCACTGTTTGATTAACCTGGCAAGCAGAGCCTCTGATTTTCTTTCGTCAAACCCTGTGGAATTTTTCAAATTTGAGAAGAGAGGAGAAAAAGAAATTTCGGAGCCATGTGCTGCAACAGGGCCATAGCATGGAGCTGCTGCTCCTTTCAGGGTTTCTAAGTGCAGGGGGTTCTGCTTGCATTTCCGTCACGAGGCAGGAGGCAGCCAGGGTGTTGCCAAGACTGCCCTTGAAGACACAGGGCACTAGAGCCAGGTGCTTGCCAAAATCTACATCCTTACCAGCACCACTTCCTGAGGGAGAGCTTTGGTGGCCAATGGGTAAAGCCCAATCAGGGGACTTTCTGCTGCAGTCACACCCTATGATATTTCTACACTCTCTGGGAACCAAAGCTGCAGCTGGGCCAGCAAGGTGGCTCAGTGGGTAAAGACACCTGCTGCCAAGGCTAACAACCCGAGTCTGATTCCTGGGACCACAAGTTGGAAGGAGAGAACCAACTCTTAAGAATTATTCCTCTGAAACCACACACAAAGAATGCAATTAAAACCGAAGGAAAAAAATTCAGCCAGCACTGTTCCCAAATACACAGCACTGGCAGCTGGCTGGGCACTGCCTGGACCATGCTTGCTGCCCTTATCACCCTGGGAAGTCCAACAATACGTCACGTGGTTCCTCATTCCCATCCTCCTGTGACCCTGCCTCTCCTCCAGGCAGCTTTGACTGCCTGTAGTACCAGAGGTGAGTGTAGACTGTCTCTGTGTCCTGTCACAGCATTTCAGCAGTGCTCTGTAAGAGGAACCCCTAGTCTCCCTCTTTCCTGAATCCCAGCATTAGGTACAGCTCTTTGGCCCAGCGCTGACCTAGTGGCTAAGTGACATGGGTCTCCTATCATATATTCTAGGGTTGCAGCTTTACAGAAGAGACTACCTTGCATATAATTAAAAAAATCATCTGTGTGCTTCAGATGTCAGAAAGGAAAAGTAAGCACCAATTCGTTGCCAGAAAAATGGAGCAGCTTACCCCTCAGAGCCTGGTTTCTGAATTCTCCAACCACGTTGAATGCTTGGCACTTAAGGCCCCACAAGTCAGGCTTGGAGCCCAGTATTTGCCTAAAGCCAGGCTGCCACTCTCAGTACCTCAGTCCCCACTAATCACTACACACCCCTCACATCACATGTCCCACCCTCACTTCCTCTTAGGTCCTGCCTGGCCCCACAGCCATCTTGGCTTTGGAATATATCCTGGCATCTAAGAGCATCTCAAGGACTCTTGTCACCAAGAATGTGTCTATTGCTGGAAGCAGGGGATGAAGGCTAGTAACTCTGGGGTTCAGAAGCCTGGCTCCAGCTACAAGAACAGCTGGGGCTTGTCTTCTGACAATAGTGGGTGCTTTCAGCAGGGAAGAGGCAGTCTTTGCTAGGAAATGTGGGTTCAAGGGATGCTGACTTACTCTGGAAGCACCTTGGTTGTGCTAGAACTCTGTGTCGAGTCAAGAGCGCTCACCTCCAAATCCAGCGGGTAAGCTCACCCCTCCCTCTGTGGTGGCCTGACACCGGCAGAGAGGGGACAGGAATTGATTTCCCTTCTCATTTCTGTCAGCAGGAGGAATGGCAGGAGAACCAAGGGGGCGCTGTGTCATTTGAAACCCGAGTGCATTGACCTGAGGATAACTCACGGGCTCATTAGTGGCCAGCCCCTCTGCTGTTTCCCATTCAGACAGAATCTGTGTGAGGACCTGGTGGGAAGCCAGAGACTGACCAGCACATCCTGGATACACCCCAGTGCCAGGCCAGCAGGCAGAGCATCTATAGCACCTCCCCCACATCACAGGCAGAAAGGAAGGGGCAGGACAAGGATCATGGCAGCCTCCTGCTGCTGCTACAGTGCAGTGTGAGGCCCTCTGGAACCCTAGGGCGAGCAGACTGCTGGGCCTCCTTGTGGATGGAAGGTGAAGGTACAACTTGGCCTCTGGTCTGTCTGCCTTAGGATGCCCATAGCCCATATGGTGGAGTGGGGGGGTCTTCTGTCTCAGTGATTATCATAAGCATTTATTATCATAAGCATTTATGGGACCAGACGGAGCATGGATAAGTTCTACTCTGACTCATAGTCTTCTAGTAGCAGACCCTGAGGCAAAAAGCCCTGGGCAAGTGTGTAGACCGTGTTAGAAACCTAGGCAGAGAGGGGAGGCAGACTGCTCGTGAAGGGTATGTGAGTAAGCTAGCCATTCCTGCCAGCACTCGGAGTAAAAGACCATCAGGGAGACAGGGAGTCAGTGTGGACATATCTCAAAAAGATTCTAACCACGGGACATAATGATCCCCATACCAGCATGGGCTGAAGGCTGCTTCTAGGGGCTTTAATATCCCTCTTCAGCTTGGGCTAGACACATGAAGGCCCAGAAAACCTATGTGGGGACTAACTACAAAAACCAAAGGTGATTTCTGTCCCAGCATTGATTAAACACAGATCCACGCACAGGCAGAGAAATGCCAGCTGCCTCAGAACTAACATTGTGTTAAGAAACTAGTAGTTTCCAAAGGAATAAGCTACTAATAACAAAATAGCCAACATTTTGGAAGGATGTCAAGGGCACTCTGCTTGGGAATCAGCCAACCTCCAAATGTCTTCAGATTGCATTGTGTTTACGCGCCATTTGGACAGCTTTTCTGTTTTCGTTTTTTGGTGTTGGGGATCAAATTCAGGGCCACACACGCTAGACAAGCTATCTGCCACTGAGTTGGACCACTACTTCCGTTACAGCATTCTTGGAATGACAGTCTAAAGATGAGAATAGACAAGTGCTATTCTCCAGGTGCTAGGATGAGCCTGGAGGATGGAGTTGTGCTGTATCTTCATGTGCTGGCAATCCCATAAAGCCACGCATGACAAAATGGTATAGAAACGCGCGCGCGCGCACACACACACACACACACACACCACTATATGAGGACTGTCTATGAGTACAGTGGTCACTTCTGTTATCTTTGGGAGAAACTGAGCAATAACACATGGCAACTCTGTGTGTCCTTCTTGCTTTGAGATATAACTCATATACTACAAAGTTCACCATTTTCAAGTGTGCAATCCATATTTTCCCAGCATATTTACAGGCTACAACAAGCATCGCCATCTTTGCCCAGCACATTTCACTTCTCACTGAAGGAGCCCTACACCCATTGGTCACCCATTCCCATGCCTGGCCTGTTCCTATGTCTGTATATCTGCTTAGGCTGTGTTTCCCATAAACGGAATCATTCACTATGTGGCCTTCTCATACTTGGCTTTCAAGGTCCATGCATGCATGTTGTAGCCTGTACCAACACTTCATTCCTTTTCATGGCTGGGTATTAGTATATTGTATGTCTAACATCACCTTTTCATTATTTGTCTATCAGTCTGTGTTTTGGATTGTTTCCATCTTCTGTTGAGTTTCCATTTTTTTGGTTGTTGTTGTTTTTGTTTGTTTGTTGTTATTGCTGCTGTTTTTGTTTTTCTGATGAGCACATCTCTTGGTTATACACCCAGGAGTGGAACTTTCCGAAGAATCGCCATGCTGTTTCCCACGGTGGCTGGTCTATTGGCTTTCAGCAGTACTTGTCATTTGTTCTGGTCATCCCAGGGGGTATGACTGGGTCCCACTGTGGCCTTCATTTGAGGTTTCAAAAAGTACACGTTGAGTACTGGTGTGTACTTTTCTGTGCCAATGTTTTGCTTTGTTTCAGCAATATGGCCTTAGAAATCCACCAGGACCACTCCCTTCTCTTCTACGTTTTATAAGATTGAAGGGACTGTCAAAGGCTCATTCTTTAAATATCTGCCAGGATTCACCAGTGGCACCATCTCATCCCAGGCTTCCCTTGTGGAGTTTTTGATAATCAGTTCAATTTCTTTCTTTTCTTGGGATTGGTCTGTTTAGATTTTTCATTTTGTCTTGAGTCAGTTTTGATAATTTGCTCTCCTTGGCATTTATACAGTTCAAGTAGGTTATCTTATTTGTTGGCATACAGTCTTATAATCCTTATTTCTGTAAGGTCAGTAGTTATATTCCATTCATGTGGTGATATTTTGAACAAATAAAATTTGCCTGAAGATCAGAGAAGCAAAGCAAGTCACAGCCACCACCTCTTACCTCACCAACTCCTCAGCCCGCAAGAGCGTGAGTTCCTGTCTCCTCTGGCCTTACACTCCTTTCTCTGCCCAGCCATATCACTTCCTGTCTCACCCTTCCTAGTGCTGGGATTAAAGGTGTGGTCCCAAGTGCTGGAATTAAAAATGTGTGCCACCACTGCCTGGCTCTGTTCCTTTTTTAGACTGGATTAATTTCATGTAGCCCAGTGTGGCCTTGAACTCACAAAAATCCAGACAGATCTCTGCCTCTGCCTCCTGAGTGCTAAGATTAAAGGTGTGTACCACCACTGCCTGGCCTCTATGTTTAATCTAGTGGCTTGTTTTGTCCCCTGATCTTCAGGCAAGCTTTATTTCCTAGATTACAAACAATATATCACCACATTTCCCCTTTTTTTGTCAAAATACTACCACACCTTCATTCCCTTTACATTCATTGAAATCTTTGCTTCCTCCTTTATTAGTCTAGCTAAAGGTTCTTGATTTTATCTTTTCAAAGAACCAACTTTGGTTCCATTGACTTTTTTCTCTATTGATGGTCTTTTTTTTTTTTTTTCTGTATCATTTTTTACAGCTTTCTGTGGGTCTATAATAGTCTCCAAATAAAAAGTTTAAAACTATGTAGCATGTGATTTTATGTATCAGGGATATGATGTGACCAAGGACAGACAAGCGCTTATCAGTTAAATGGGTGAGGCTGATAAGCCCAGGCACAGGAGCATTTATTCTAGTAAGACATGCTCTGAGGAAGATAACAAAGACAACAGTGATCGGGCAGGAGGGGACAGGGCTCTCCACACTGTGGGCAGGGAAGCCTTGATGAGAAAGGGATACTTGTGTGAAATTGAAATGCAGGTGATCTGGATCAGCATGCCCAGAGATGTGGGGATGACGGAGGGAGACTACTAGAGAAAGGAGTCGGGGGCAGACAGGGTACTGTGGGTCCTATCCACCCAGTTGCCCAGGTGACAAGAGGCAACTGTTATTTGTTGTTGTTTTTTTCCTGTAAAGGCACTTCCAGGAAGGATTAGGTAAAGGGAACGCCCCTCCTGAAGTGGAGACCAGATATAATGAAATCTGAGGAGAAGGCCACCCTGCCTGCTTCCCCCATTAGCTGACTACTGCTCTTGTTGATGAGTGTCTATTCTGAAGGTGCCTCCATCCTTCCCTGAAGACAGCTCCTGCAGCCTTCCCACATGACTGAAGGGAGACCTGTGGCTCTCTAGGAATCCTTCAGGCTCTCGATACCCAACTGGGACTACTGGGGCATCCAGTTGCATAGACCAAGCAGCTACTGGGGTCTTTGCCTCTCTAATGCCATTAGCCTCTGCTGGGCTCCCTCCACCTGGACCCATTGTGTAAGTTAATCTAATAAATAAACAAATCCCTTTGTAATATACATTCCATGAGTTCTGTTCCCCTAGAGAGCCCTGACTCACAGAGAATGGAGAGCAGGAAGAGAAGATATGAAATGAAGCCCACTTTCGCAGGCTTTGGGACCTGAGAAGGACTGGGGAGATGAAAAAGGCCCGCTGTCAGATCCACTGGGAAGCAGAGACACAAGATTCGTGGGCAAGTGTGAAAGCAACTAGCTGAGAGAGTAGCCCTCAGGACAAAAAGTATGCACTACCTAGTTCTTAACAGTTTTTATGGAATACAATAGAAAATAAATTTACTGGAAATAACTATTGACTTGGGAAATCCCTAATTTCAAAGGCTGTAAGCACTGGGTGTGGGTAGCCTAGCAGGTAGAGACTGTTGCTAAGCAAAGGAGTCCTTGAGGGAACAAGATACAAGGTGAGAGAAGTTGGTAGGAAAGATCAAGAATCCACAGGCTGGGTATATAAATGTGGAGACATCACAACACCATGGGCCAGGGATGGAAAGGGTAGACACAGAAGGGACAGGGATGAAAAGAGTGGACATAGAAGGGACAAGATGGAGGGTGGGCACAGAACGAAGGGGCCAGCGATAGAGAGGATGGACACAGAAGGAAGGATAGCTCTTTCCTTTTCTTGTTTCTGCTTTTCTTGTTTTCTCTGTGTGTGTGTGTGTGTGTGTGTGTGTGTGTGTGTGTGTAGGCCAGAGGTCAACATTAGATGCCTTCCTTACTTGTTGTCCCTTATATTTTGTGACAGGGTCTTGCTGACCCTAGAGCTCACTAATTTGGCCAGACTGGCAAGTCAGTGAGCTCCAAGGACCAACCTATCTGCCTCCCTAGAGCTGGCATTGGACACATGCTGCTGTGCTCAGGCCCCACCCTACCCGCTGCCCTTGCCATAGGTACTGGGAATCTAAATCCAGGTTCCTCATGCTTGTATAGCAAGCATTTACCACCTAAGCCATCTCCTCAGCCCATTTGGGTGTTTAAGACAGGGTCTCACTATGTAGCCCAGGCTGGCCTCCCACTCATAGCTCTCCTGCTTCTGAATGTTGAGATGACAGGTATCCTCACCACTCCTGACCTAGGAAGGGGTTTTTTCCTAGAGTCTACCAACACACCCTCAATTCCCTATAATGAAGCAACTTCTCCTTCAAATCTCCTCTTTTTAAAGGTACTTCTCTGCTCAGATGTCAGTGGTACCCTGCCAGCCACTACTGTGTGGTCAGGTCAGGTCCCTCAAACCCTTGAGGTCTCATTTGCTCATTGATGAAATGAGGACAGTTCGGGCAAGGTTCACATGAAGGTCAAGTGAGACAAAATATCAGGCTGTGGCTGGTAAAGCCAGTGCCATCGGATGTGTTTGGGACAGGGCTTTCTGGTCACCCAGTCCTGGAAGACTATGGAGGAAATGAGGGGGTCTAGCCCGCCCACAGGAGGATCTCGAGATCCAGCAGCCCAGCTGACACAGCTGCACTGTATCCCAACTTCAGTCCCTGCTCCCCAAAAAAAACCAAACCTATGAAGTCACCCACTAGGCAAGCTCAGCAGCCCCAGGAAGTAGAGAGAGGCACAGCCACTATCAGAACTGTCCCTGGGGATCCCAGGGATGCTTTCTATTGCTCATGGGGTGCTCCGATATTTTCATTTTCAGTACTTTAAAGAACAACACTGATTTTGGGGGATGGCCTAGTTAGGTTTCTGTTGCTGTGATACAACAATGACCGAACCTAACTTGGGGAGAAGGGTGTATTTGGCTTACAAGTCCTGATCACAGTCCGTCTTTGTGGAAAGTCAGGGCAGGAACTCAAGCAGAATTCGAGCAGAGACCATGGAAGAATGCTGCTTACCAGTGTGTTTCACGGCCTCCTCAGCCTGCTTTCTTTCTTATACAGCCTAGGACTACTTGCCCAAGGTGATGACAGTAACCATTAATCAAGAAGATGCTGCACAGACTTGCCTACAGGCCAATCTGACGGAGGCCTTTTTCTCAACTGAGGCTCCTCTTCCCAGATAACCCAAGCTTATGTCAAATTGACAACCAACCAACCAGCACAGTGGAGTCCATCATCCAGGTGTGTGACAGGGCTTTAAGAGACATAGAAGAGCACCTGACACCTGCCTCATCCCCTGCTCTGCTCTCGGATCTGCAGGCTCTTCCAAGGCAATCAGAAATGGTGCCAGACACAGCACAGGAAAGCCATGTGGCTGGCTGTTCTGCTCAGTACAGCTAACGTGATGGGAGGAAGCAAGGCATGGTGGCATGTACCTCGAACACCAGAACCAGGAAAGCAGAAGGCAGACTGTTGGTTCAGTTACTCTAGGCTTTGTAGTGAGTTCAAGGACATCCCAGACAACGCAGCAAGAGCCTGACTCAAAACCCATAAAAACCAGCAAAAAGATGGTAACAGGGGAAAATACAATTGCTTATAAAGCTAACCTCTATTAACTATCTAAAAGAAAAAATATTCAAGTCTGTTGGGTGTGGACCCATGGCCTCAAGAAGCAGCACCCTGAGGAGGTGTGGGCACAGTGTGTGGGCCAGGCTGCAGCTCATGAACTTGGTCTCACCACTTTCCTGTGTGTGACCTTGGCCATGTGCATGCCCATCTCCAAGCCTCAGTTTTAGTGTTTTCATCTACAAAATAAATGAAGGCACTGGCCCCTGTGACCCCTGGTGGTCTATGTTTAGTGGTCACAGCAGGCAAGACCTCAGGGAGAGACACACTGGGAGCCTCAGAGGGTGCTATTCCCATGGGCTTCTCTTCACTCGGCTACAGAGAATGACTAGGGTTGATGACAGCATGCTTCCCCAACCTGAGACTGCATCCTCATTGTGGACAGAGAACACACAGCAAACCCAGGCCCCCTTCACTTACCACTAAGTCCCTGCTGACAAGGCAGCCCAGCTCTCCTGGTAACACTGCGTTCCGGATGTCCACATCGTGAGGTGAGACATACAGCTTTATATCGTTCAGGTCAAAGAACTGGACTTCCGTGAGACCCACCCATGATGCATTGCCCCAGTTAGACAGGATTTCCATGGTCACATAGATGGCATCTTCAATCTCATCTGCTCTCGCTCTCCACTTTTCCTAAGAAAAAAACACCACAGGGCAGCAAGCTTGAACTTAGTACTGCCATTGTTCTGTGCCCCCCAGGGCCTTCATACAGCATTCAGCCCCATGGTGCCTCACAGCACCTGTCCATTGTGGCTATTACAAGGCTAGCAAGGGCTCCTATTTGTAACGTATGTAAAACATCAGGAATGGACTGGAAAGATGGCTCAGTGGGTAAAGGTATTTGCTACCAAATTTGACAACCTGCGTTTGACCCTCAGAACCCATGGTGGACAGGGAAAGCTGACTCTCTAAGTTGTTCTCTAACCTACACACAGACACACAGACACAGACACACAGACACACAGACACACACACACACACACACACACACACACACACACACTAACTAACTAATAATGTTAGTAATAAATAAAACATCAAAACTTTAAAGTCATAACTAAAACATAGGGATTGGGTTGGGTGTGGCTCAGTGGTAAAGCACTCCCCTAGCCAGCATAAGGCCCCGAGTTCTAGCTCTAGCACAGGAAAAAAAAAATATATATATATATATACACACACACACACACACACACACACACACACACACACACAGAGCAACTGCACACCCAGCACTTACTAAATATCACACTTGAAGACCTTCAAATGAAAGACAGCTATTGTAAAAGACCGGATTCTGACTGAACACACTTCTCGCCCCACCGCCCAGGAGCATGTACACGTGTACACGGCCCAGGAGCATGCTGTAACATCTGAAGTCGGCAGTGGCCTGGGCTGTGCTGGAGTCCCCCAAACCCATTGTCCCAGGATGCGACCATTTGCAGCCAGAGCCTTTAAGAGGTGATTAAATCAAATGAGGCCGCTGGGGAGGGCACTTTCTCATCTGCCTGGAGGCCTTAAAAAAGGAGGAAGTCTGGAGCCACAGGAACTAACACCAGGACACACAGAGAAAATGACCAGTGAGGAAGCCAGCGCTTGCAAGGCAAGGAGAAATCCGCTAGCTGCACCTTGACCTTGGACCGCCGTCTTTGCAGCTATGAAAAAGACCAGTCTGCTGTTTAAGCTGCCAGCGTATGCACTGAGTGTAGTCTGACGGCATGGACCAAAGTGCCCCTGTCTTGGTCAGTCATTTGACATTCCCAGCCTGGCGGGGTGAGCAGGATGCCACCATCCTAGTCTGGAGGTTAAGCAAGACACCCCCCCCCCCCCACTGACATCCCTCCCCCGACACCCACGTGTGATCAGGGTGAAACAGGCTCGGTTCCCTGGCTCTCCTTCACTGATTTCAAGCCTCCCTCCTTCCTGGGGAGGCTGTCTGGTCTGGGAGCGTGTGTGAATGCCATCAATAAACAGCAACCCTGTGCCATGGCTTCCTAGAGGCCCTCAGGGCCCAACTGCAGCGCTGGTCACCATGGATCAGCCACTCACGAAATGGTGCATTTCCCTGTGTGCACGTGCCCTCTGTTAATTAGCATCAGTATCTGCAACGGTTCTGTGAGCAGGAAGCCGTGTAAATGAACAGCAACTGTTCCCCACTTATTTTTTTAATTAATAGCCAGTGAGACATGCGAGCGCTCCCAGCATGGGTTTGGACAAGCTGATTGCCACACGATGAGAATGGGAATGGAGATGGGGTGGGGGTGGTGTGAGGACAGGTCAGCTTGGAGCTCCTGGCAGGAACACAGTACCAGCTTGGATTAGTTGAACTGTAAGAATGCAGAGTTCCCTCATCCTTCTCTAGCATGTAGGCCCTGGCCAGGTCCTTGACTGCCCTGGGCCTGAGTCCCAGGCTTGCAGGACTGGCCTGCCTGATTCTGGGGTTGGCAGGCTCCTGAGCCTGATGCATGCTGGGACCAAGTGACTTTGTTGCTAGGAGGGAGGGAGGGAGCTAGATGGGAGGAAAACTGTCTGCAAAGGACTGGGGACCTCCTGCCCAATGCAATCTGAAACACACAATTCCTGAATGGGGATTCCAAATGCAGAGGCTAGAGTATGAAGTGAGAAGTGTCATCATGTGTCAGTATCCCAGCTGGACATAGGCTGGTCCCCGGCGCTCACTACCCCTCTCACAGACCACTTGGTTTCTTTGAGCTTAGTCACCTACCACTTATTCTTCCTCTGTCATAAGGTTGTGGTACAGTGGACTGGCCCTTTCCTAAGCAATCAGTGTGTGCTGTCCCCTGGGCCACCAGGAAGAAGGGATTTGTTGACCAAACTCAGGCTAGTGCAGACAAGCTTTTCTCACAGGCAGTGCTGGAGGCTTCTGCAGCTGTTAGGGACTCCAAGAAGGAGCAGGGGTGGGGCCAGTGCTGGGATGAAGCTCGGGGTGCAAATGACTCCATGGAGACCAAGTGGAGAGATTTAGCGAGCTGCAGGATGTAGTGGCCACCAGGCCACCCTCAGTGTTTTCAGTGCCAAGTGCCTATAATTTGTTTCTCTTTGTTGTGCAAGTCACACTGCCCTGGATTTTCTGTCTCCTCTACAGCAATTTAATCCATATGGGTTCTTACTAATGTGGCCCAAGTTACAACACATTGTGAATCTTCTCAGCTCAAGAGGCAGCTGTTCCAGGTTGGGGACGGGGGTGGGCCAGGAGCTTTGATGTTTCTCAAAGATGGACTTTGAAACAGGTATTTATGGGTTCCTCCTATCCTGTGCCAGGCACTGAGTGGCACATCTTCACCATCCTGTGGTGCTCATGGAATTCGGATGACCGGCTCCATGTGACAACCTGCTATCTTGCTCCCAGCCACTACAACCACACTGCACTGGGAGATGACTACCAGTGTCTGCAGCTAACTTTATATGACTACATTTCTACATATACTTATTTACTGGATGTGCGTGTGTGTGTGTGTGTGTGTGTGTGTGTGTGTGTGTGTGTGTGTGTGTGTTACACATGGGAGCTCAGGTGGAGGTCAAGACAGCTCAACTTTCAGGAGTCAGGTCTCTCCTCCTATGGTGTGGTTCTGGCATCAGACTTGTTCACCAGGCTTGACAACAAGCACCTTCACCTTGAAAGCTTATCTACAGTCCTAACATTTTATGTTTTGTATTTTCTCTCCTTCTGGTTGTTTGTTATATAGTCCAGGTTGGCCTCTAACTCAAAATCCTCCTGCCTCAGCCTACCAATTACAGACATTGTCACCACACCCACCAAACTTAATTTTCAGTTCTTAATCGTGGGCCACCCTGGATATTTTCCTGCGGGCTTATGGGCTATTTCTGTTTCTTTTCCAGGAACTTCTGGCCTACACCTTTCTTCTTTGGCCTCTATTGCTCCATCATGTGTATGACTTGGTAGAGAGATGTTAAGATGATCGTCATCAGAGTCTTCCCACCAACCAGAACTGACAGCTCCGAGGGGTCTTCTCCTCAGCTTTCAGGGTGACATTGATAGAGACTGTCTCCATGAGTATAGGCTCTCACCTCTGGGTCCAGTACTGGCTTCTCTGTTGGCACAACCACCCGGCTGAGATGGGCAGTGTCACTTTCCATGGTCTGCAGGACTCCCAGAAACTTATGCTGTTGTCTGAAATGGGATTTTGTTTTAGCAAAGAGGCAATAACAAAGAATACACACAAGAGAACAAGCCCATGAAAGGGACCGCAGAGCCTTTAGCGTCCACTTGAGAAGCTTGACTGCACCTTGCACAGAGCTCAAGGGCATATACAGGTCTCCTCTCCTTTTGTAAACAGCTGGACAATTAGTAATGAAATCAGAGCCCAGGCAGAGAAGCCAGCTGACCTCTCCAGCTGACTAAGAACTTGTTCACAGACAGGGCAAGGAGTCAGCCTTACTAAGAGCTGCCAAGCCATGGCCTGTTTTATATAACCCAGCAGCTAAGAGTGGCTTTTATGTGTTTTAAGCATTGTTAAAACCAACAACAAATAACAAAACCTCCAACTGCCAAGCCCGCAGGATTTCCCAGCAGGCCCTTTACAGAAATTGCCAACCCCAGGCTTAGAGACCCACCCTTTGCTAGAGCTGGTGTGCACCCCACATGTGCAGAGCCCCAAAGCAGAGGATTCCAGTGATGAAGAAGGTGGCCTCTGGCTAGTGCTGCCTGCTGCAGAGCTGTCAGATGCAAACCCGCCCTGCGGCTGGAAACCGAGGGAGCTCTGATTTATGGCTGCGGTGAAGTGGAGCCGCTTCCATCTGGGGTCTGCAAATATGCAGGAATGGAGAGCCCTGCCTTGAGCCATCCAGTCTTTCAACACACTACGAACAGAAGCTCCCTGGGGGGATGGACTCAGACTTGGAGGGCACATGGCTTGGCTGGCACCCCCCACTCTATGCAATAGTTTCAATAGCCTTGCCCACTTCCTGGCCTGATGACACCTCAGGTCACGGCACTTAGTGACCAACATTCAGGCTTCACTGCAGTCCCTTCCTGCTCCTCAGTCAGGTACTTTGTACAGTCTGCAACATGCATAGTCCTACATCATGGCCCCGGAGTATGCCTATGTGCCAAGACATGTGTGACACTGCAGGTTACAGCGGTGTGTTTCTTTGGGGATCAGTTTTCCCTGAAGACCAGAAGTGAGTCTACTTTGCTAGTAACACTTGCCAATTCCAGGGCCTATGCTACATGCTAAGGGACAGAATGCTGCACTGAACATACTTTGACAAAGAAAAGGAGTCTCAGGGGCTGATGCTTTGAGGCACCTTTGTGACAAGTCAGTTTGGGGACAGGCTCTCTCCTAAGCTATGTGGGGTGCTCCGGTGAAAACCGGAGGTAAATTAAGCCAGTTTAGGTGCAGAACAAAATGAACAAGCCAGGAGCCACTTGCATGAAAGAAAGCATCTCAGTGCTGTGCTGGGGGGGAGGGGAGGGTGCTCAGTGCTGTGCTCTGGGGCTGGGGGGGGGTGAGGGGAGGGTGCTCAGTGCTGTGCTGGGGGGGAGGGGAGGGTGCTCAGTGCTGTGCTCCGGGGCTGGGGGGGTGAGGGGAGGGTGCTCAGTGCTGTGCTGGGGGGGGTGAGGGGAGGGTGCTCAGTGCTGTGCTGGGGGGTGAGGGGAGGGTGCTCAGTGCTATGCTCCAGGGCTGGGGGGGAGGGGAGGGTGCTCAGTGCTGTGCTCTAGGGTTGGGGGGGGAGGGGAGGGTGCTCAGTGCTGTGCTGGGGGGTGAGGGGAGGGTGCTCAGTGCTGTGCTGGGAGGTGAGGGGAGGGTGCTCAGTGCTGTGCCCCAGGGCTGGGGGGTGAGGGGAGGGTGCTCAGTGCTGTGCTCTGGGGCTGGGGGTGAGGAGAGGGTGCTCAGTGCTGTGCTCTAGGGCTGGGGGTGAGGGGAGGGTGCTCAGTGCTGTGCTCTGGGGCTGGAGGTGAGGGGAGGGTGCTCAGTGCTGTGCTCTAGGGCTGGGGGTGAGGGGAGGGTGCAACTCTAAAGTGCTGTTCAAGACACTCTGGAATAACATGGCGGGACAGCAGGTCTCTGTCGTCATCACTAGACAGGATTGCAAACATCTGAGAAACTGAGAGAGGCACACCTCAAGGCTTCCGTCTGAGGCGTTTCTAGACAGGATTTGATCACAAGGACTCTGACCCAATAGATAGTTTTACGCACTGAGGAATTTCTGATATCATGGCATTCTGGAAGGTGGTGAAAAGTGAGAGGTGGGGTCACTGGGGGAATGTCCTTGGAGTTGTTATCTTGCCTGGCTCCTTCCTGTAACTGTCTCTGTCTTGGCTGTTATGACAGGAACTTCTCTCCCCTGCCACAACCTCCCAACCATGACGAACTGACACTTCTGGAACTGTGCGCCCGTTAAACATTGGTTGTTTCTGCTAGGTACTGTAGTCAAAGCTAAGCAAAAAGGACTACTGCAACAAGAAAACTCAAGGTTGGTGAGACCCTCGAGGCTGCACTGCTGTGGGCCTTCTGGATTGGGTTCTGCATCTGCTTGGAGAGTACCTGCTTCCCAAAGGGCCCATTCTGTCCATGGCTTGGCTGCTGCCGTTGGCTCCCCCTGCTGCCCCGAACAGCTCAGGATTGGTGGTCACTGGAGTGATGGCAAGCCGCTGAGGGCAGAAAGGCTGATTAGACAGCTATCCAATGGAAGCCTGCAGCCCGACACCTCACAGGACAGTGGTCAAAGGCATGGGCTTTCAGGTACCTGGTCCCACCACGTAGATATGAGGGCACAAAGATGACAGTGCCAGCCTGGGGAGGGTCAGCTTAGAATCCTATATGTATTCTCAGATCATTCTGACCAGGGAGGTTCTGGGAAATAATCCTTCTATGAGCTACTGAACAACTGTCACCTAACTACCCATCACTCAACTCACCTGGGCTCAGTTTCCTCCTAAGAGACTGGACCCCCCCCCCCACACACACTCACGCACTCACGTGAGATGATCTGTTTCCTTCTTTCTCCTCTATCATCTAAAATGGAATGGGATGGGATGTCTGTCTACAGGTGACTGTCGTAGTTAGAACCTTGTGGGGGTCAGGGGTCAGGGCTCAGGCTGGCTACTCAGGAACCCTGGATCCCAAGGCAGTCAGAAATGCTGACTGGCTAGTGCCCAAGATGTCCTGTCTAGTAGGGCAAAGGCAATTAGGAAAGAAAGAAACTCAACTGGGGACTCTGGGGTGCTGGCACCCTTTTGCATGTTGCCCACCCCACACACAACACTGGCCTTCTTTCTGGTCCTTAATGTAGCTAGCTCATGGCCACCTCCAGCTGTTGCCAGCTCACCTTCCACTTGTCAGAGCAAGCATGGCTCACTCCCGGACACTCTGTCCCCATATGTCTATTGGCTCCACTGATAGGTATACAAGCTCCTTGCAGCCATAGGTAGACTGTCTGGGCCACCTCTGTATCCAGAACACTGGGAGCACCTGAATGTGATGAAGACATTTCCTGGGTGCTTTATTAATTCACATCCTTTACGAGATGCCTGACTGGCCTAGACAGATAGACAGAACTTATTTTTTCTCAACACTAAGATCTACTTTGGTGTTATCTCATTGAGAAACAGAAATGGAAGAAGGAAGTGGGTCACCAGGCCTGGCTGGGCTCCAGATTCAATTTGCAAATTTGGCCAAGCCACTCAAGTTCCGACTTGTACAGTTGTGGAATGGGTAGAAGGCCAGTGCTCAGGCTACAGAGAGGAACTCCTGGGACTGTGGAAGGGAAATGGCTGGGGACCATCAGGGCAGTGTGTTTGTGAGGTGGGGGTGTTATATGCATGTCCGGCTTGGTTGAGCTCAGCCTCACACTGACCTCTGGACTGTCCTCCTTGGCCTTCAGCAGACTGGGCCATGATTTTGCTAGTGGTTCCTTGGTATCCTGCAAAGACCACATCAGATGATGTAAGTAGGGATGAAGCTATTACTGTGCATTCCTCCCATACAGGGAAGGCAGAGAAGCAGGGCCCTTTCCACATTTCCCTGACAGACTGGGCAAAAGGCAACCTCTGGGAAGATATGCCAAAGGTTCTGCTCACCAACCAGAAGAACCACCTCCAGACGGAGAGCACAGAGCAGCATGGACAAGAATGTGAGCTGGCAGCCAGGCTGACCTTACAAAGATATAACCCCAGTTGACCACATCTATAATCCAGGCAGAGGACCCTGCCTATTGTGGGGTCACCATGAGCCTCAAGTGGGACAGGCTAAGGGTCTCAGCAGGAGAGCCAGAGACTGCAAATACTGAGGAGTATGTAAAGCCTCAGCTTCCAAGGCCTCTGCTCCACCCCACCATTGACCTTCTAAGTTGTTCCTGGAGGTCTGAGCGGTTATAGGAGTGAGGGAAGTAGGCCAAGGGAACAACAGGGGCCCTGTGGCTCATGTTCTGGGACCAGCTTCAGGAGAGCCACAGCTTACTGCCTATTCAGCCACACATCGGCCTGGCATCCTGTAGCACAGGCCTAAGCCATCCCAAATTTGCAGGGAAATGACCAATGATTCACAGGTCAGTGCTTGGCTGTCAGAAATAACCCAGAAGCTGCAAAATGGTAGCTGAAGTGGGACCCTGGACAGATGGAGAACAGCTGTCCATAAATAGGTGAAATGCAGAGTCTCTGGTCAGAGAGGGCTGCTGCTCCAACCCTGCCTGGCCTTGTGTGCCCCCAGTCCCTCCTTAGCCCTCCACCCCATGGGTGCTCGGACCTGCTGTGGAGGGGTGGCTAGCTCAGGCTCTTGGCTGAGGAACACCTGCTGCAGAGCTGCATTTTCCACTTGGATGGCTTTCAGCACGGCCGAGGCATCTTCCTCTCGATCCTCGGCTGCATGTGCTTTTCGAGTTGCTGACAAGGGTCTGTCTCTCCGGCTGCCAGGTCCTGTAGAAAGAAAGCAGAGATGTTCTTCAGCTTGTCTTCTCAGAAAACAGCTCGAAATTCAATAGCTCTTACTGAGGGACACTCTGTAAAAAGAACTGGTCAGCCCCCTTAAAAATGTCAAGGTCTTGAGGGATGATGAAAGCCTGGAGAACTGTTCCAGATTAAAAGTACCCAGGCAGGCACAATAAGCAGCTGCAATGGTCACCTCAGGGTGACCAGTAAAACACTCATGTGCACACACACACACACACACACACACACACACACACACACACACACACACACACACCTGAACACCTGAGTTCATATCCCAGCCATGTAAAAAGCTGGGCAAAGTCATGTAAGATATACCCCAATTCTAGGGATGAAAACAAAAGGATTCTAATAGGCTTGCTGGCTTGCCAGTCTAGCTGAAATGGTGAGTTCCAGGTTTAGTGAGAGACCCTACTTCAAAAACTAAGGTAGCGATGCTGTGGAGGAAGACACCCAATGTTAACCTTTGGCCACCACATGCACCTGCATGGGCATGCACACATGTACATATACACAAAGAAATAGGGGAAAAACTGTTATTATGGCGAGGAAAGAAATCTGAATATAGCCTGTGGCTTAGATAACAGTTTTATACTAATGCTAAATACTCCAAAATTCATGAGTGGACCGTGGTATTATAAAACTAACATGCTTGTGCTTAGGAAATCCAAGCTGCAGTGTTGAGTGCAAAGGGGAATGCTATCTATAACTTATTACCAATAGTTTAAGGAATAAACAAAGAGAGTCATTCCTCAGTCTCCCTGATCCATAGGGGACTGATTCCAGAAGACCACAGGTACCAAGATCCCAAGATGCTCAAGTTTCTCACATAAAAGGCACCGTGTTTGTATATAACCCCCACACCCTATACACACTATAAGACCCTCTAGATAACAAAGGCTGTGCCAGTCACTGTTTTGATGACTGGAAAAGGAGACAGAAAGCAGCCCCTCTTGGACACCAGGGCATCTGTGACCTGGTACAAACTTGCCGAGGAAAAGTGCCCTTCCACACTTCTGCCCTTTGCAAACACTGGGAGATGCTGATTAGCTTCTTGCCTGGGCACTTACTTCTCCTGCCATGCTCTCATCAGAACACTGTATCTGAATGAGCGTGAGGGTGGCACTAGATGCTCATGGCTGGAAGAACTCTTATTGGTAAAACATCCACACTGACCAAAGCAACCTTCAGAGTCAATATCATTCCCATCACCAAACAAACAACCAACCAAACCAAACCATACAACAATAACAAAAACAAGCAAACAAAAAAAATCCTAGCCGGGCGGTGGTGGCGCACGCCTTTAATCCCAGCACTCGGGAGGCAGAGCCAGGCGGATCTCTGTGAGTTCGAGGCCAGCCTGGGCTACCAAGTGAGTCCCAGGAAAGGCGCAAAGCTACACAGAGAAACCCTGTCTCGAAAAACCAAAAAAAAAAAAAAAATCCTTTAAATTCATGGCTCAATCAGCTAAATGCTTGTCATGTAAAAGCACAAGAACCAAAGTTCCATTCCTGGAGTCCATGTAAAAAAATGATCAGGTGGTACCAGACTGCAAACCCAGCGCTGGAAGGTAGAGACTTGTGGATGCCTGGGGCTTGCTGGCTAGCCGGCCTACCCTACGTGAAGGCCAATGAGAGACCCTGACTCAAAATAGGACATGAGGAATAATATGACAACCAAGGTTGCACCCTGGCTTCCACAAGCATGCATACACATGTGCAATGTGCGCACACACAAAATCATGCATCCACATGCATATACACACACATACAAAAAAATAAGTAAAACGCTGATTAAAAGCTGAAAAATGGCCGGGCGGTGGTGGCGCACGCCTTTAATCCCAGCACTCGGGAGGCAGAGCCAGGTGGATCTCTGTGAGTTCGAGGCCAGCCTGGGCTACCAAGTGAATTCCAGGAGAGGCACAAAGCTACACAGAGAAACCCTGTCTCAAAAAACCAAAAAAAAAAAAAAAGCTGAAAAATGGGACTTGGGACTGGAGAGATGGTTCAGTGGTTAAGAGTGACTGCTGGTCTTCCAGAGAATCTGAGTTCAGTTCCCAGTAACCTTGAAACCATCTGTAACTTAAGCTCCAAGAGAACTGACACCTTCTTCTGGCCTCTATGGACACAGGAACACATGCAGACAGACAGACAGGTAGACACTGACAGACACACATAAATAAAAATAAATATTTTTTTTAAAAAAAATGGGACATAAACTAGGTGTGGAGGTACACAGTTTAGAAGGCTGAGGTGGAGGATTGTTTAAGCCTAGGAGCAAAAGTGTTAGGGTGCCTGGTCTCACACAACTAAACAAAAACCACCCCCACAACAAAACAAGTAGCTGAAGACCTGAATAAATGCTTCTAAAAGAATCAACAGGGCTGGAGAAATGGCTCAGTGATTAAAAGCACGTACTGCTCATCTAGAAGACCTCACTCAATTCCCAGCAACCGTATCAGGTGGCTCACAACCACCTGTAACTTTAGCTCCAGGCCAGAGCCTCTATGGGCACCTGAACTCATGTACACATACTCACACAGAATTAAAAGTAATAAAAGACAACCTCAGAAAAAAAAAAAGAACATTGAAAATCTACTTTAAAAAAGAATCGTCAAAGGGCTAACAAGTATATAACAAACGCTCAACCACACCTAAACACTAAGCAAATGCAGATCAAAAGCGATGACCTCAGTTAGAATGGCTGCGTGTGTGTGTGTGTGTGTGTGTGTGTGTGTGTGTGTGTGTGTGTGTGTGTGTGTGACAGAGAGAGAGAGAGAGAGAGAGAGAGAGAGAATACTAATTACCTGAATATCCATGTTTATTGCAGTACAATTGGAGAAAGTTAAGTCAACCAAGGTGTTTGTGACAGACTAATCGTTTTTATATGCCATACACATACAGTGGAGGAGTACTCTGTGGTAAAGAGGTTGGGCTCCTATCATTTGAAGTACCATGGATGGGACTGGAGGGTGCTATGTTAAGTGACATAAGCCAGGCACAGCAAGAAATACCCATTCTCATTCGTTAGCAGAGACTAAACCACACAGCAACACAGAATTGAGTAGAAAGGGCCCTAGAGGTTGCCAGGGGACAAGAGAATACAGAGAAGATACAAAGAGGCTGGGTAATGAGGATGAGGTACAGTAAGATCTGGGGATTGGCTCTAATGTTTCATGGCACAGTGGGGTGATTCAGTCCACAGCAGTTAACCAGACATTTCCAGAGCTTGAGGAGAACTTGAAGGTTCCTGCCACAGAAATGGTGATGTCTGAGATGGCAATCCTCACTACCTCAAGGTGACTATCATGCATTACACCCTAGATCAGCTATATACTGTTCAATTACTGCATGGTGAATACAACGACACCTGCCCTCCTCAGTGGCCCTGTGTTCCCAGGTCCCCAGACATGCAGCTCCCCTGGGCTGGTTTCCAGGATAGCCAGTGTGCTACTGACCTTGACTGTGGCTGGGACTGCACTGAGAAGCACCCAGAGAGTGAGGCACACCTCTGATGTTCATGAGGGCATTCCCAGGAGTCAGATCATTAACATATTCTAACAGATTTTATTTTACATTTTTATTTTGATTATTTACATAGTGATTGAATGACTTATGTATGTGTGGGCATACGTGTGTGTGGGGGGGTGGGTGCATTGCAGACATCAGAGGACAATTTGGTTCTCTCCTTCCCCCATATGGGGCCTGGGGATTAAATTTATGTTGTCAGTGTTGGCAGCAGGCTCCCTCACCTGCTGAGCCATCTTGCCAGCCCTCTATGAAAAATGTGAATGGACTCTTGGGAAGTGCCACTGAGGAAGGTGGAGAAGTAGGTTGCTAGGGAGAGCCTTTGAAAGGTATATCTCATCTTTGAGCCCTACCTTGAGTTGTTTGTTGAGACAAGGTCTCACCATACAACCCAAGCTGGCTCAGAACTTGTCACATTCCTTAGCCTCCCAGAGGATTACATGTATCTGCTACTGTGCCTGGTTCCTGGTTATTATGAGGTCAGCAGCTCTGCTCCACTCCACCCTTTCTGCCACGCTGTCCCACCTTAAAAAGGGGCCATGCAATGAAGCCAAGAGACCAGGAACTGAAACCTTTGAAGATGTGGACAAAAAGCCTCTCTGCTTCTCAAATGTTCCTTTCAGGCATTTGTCATAGAATGAAGAATCTGGATAACACAACTAGGTGCTAGCTGAAGAGAGCTGATGGCTCTTCTGGAATCTAAGCCAAGGTGGAGAATGCCCCTCTCAACCAGCCAGAGTCAGAGTCACTGCAAATGCCTGGGAACTGAGGCAGGCACTGGGCAGTGATGATGCCTGCCAAGTCATGTGCCTGGGATAGGTGTGCTTCTTAATGCCAGTCAGCATTCTCCACAAGGGACTGTGCTCCTCACGGAGATAAATTATATATACATATACATACATACATGTACCTGTACATACATATATATATGGCTGGAATGTGGAATCCTTAATGTCATGGGAATCCAGGTGGGTAAGAGGGTGGTGAGGACCACACTTGGTACAAAAGGGCTTGTGTTCCTAAAACGGCCATGAGGCAGGAAACAAGGAAGGAGGAAGCTGGAGGCAGTGGTTGGACTTCCCTGCTGGAGATCCTAACCACAAACTCACTCTGATTCCAGGGTGGCTGAGGCAGGAATGGGCTCCCAGCTTGGTGAAGGGTGCAGAGTGGCAGGCTCCTGACCTGCACCATACTGTGGCCTTTCCTAGTTGAGGGAGACACCGCTCTGGGTGCAAGGGAATGGCAGCAGATGGGACAGCCTTCACTGACCTTACAGTCACAGGGCTGGGACGGATATGGAGTAGGCACAGAGGAAAGGGCTAGACATGATGGAAGCGGACATATCTATCACTCAAGATGAAGTTGGGGAAGAGGACATCTGAGAGGCTGGAGGCAACAAGTCCATGACTACCAAAACCAGGAGACTGCTGCAGACCAAGG